CTGCTAATTGTTGCTGGAACGAGGCCATTCGGGCAGTAATTGAGAGAAACGGGGCCGATCCTGCAGCCCGGCTCCCCGCGGGGAAATGCTGCAGCTGAGACTACTTGGGGCAAAGCCCCACACCGCTGCAGCCCCGGGCTCGCTGGCCACCTCCTTCATTGCCTGGCGAGAGCGCTGAAATAAGCTTGCTTTTTTTTTTTTTAATAGGGGAGGTTTTAGAGCTCACTCATGCCGATGAAAAAATCACATTTTTATATGGATATGTAAAGCAGGACCCCTCTGTGTTTTCAAGCCGGCCCCGTGAGCTTTGGGGTCTTCTTTGGGGCACCCCCTGAGCCCTTCTTCTCCTGGGACAGCACTTGGGGACAATGGCTGCAGCTGGATGAGTCCAAGTTCCCTTTTGCCTCCCTGGTGTCCCCAGTCCTGGCAGCGCTGGGACACGGCTCGTGGGGCAGAGCCCCCCTTTGCCACCCCCCAAAGCACCTCTCCAGCTGCTCCCCCAGATTGAAGCTGAGGGTCCCGGATTTCCTGCTGCGTGGCATCCCGCTCCCCCAAATCCTTTAAATCTCATGGGGTCATCTGAGGCCCCAGGATCGATGAGAGTCTCCAGAGCTTCATTTACAATATTAAAGATAAGAAAATAAATTCTGCTTTCCTCTCCTTGTCAGAGACGTCACCCAGCCTCCTGCTGGCTTCCTCCTCTGGTGAGATTACCCCAGGTAACAGCGATGGGCGATCTGAGGAGACCGTTTGGTGCCTCACTGGAATTGCGCCTATTTAACAGAAGGGACCGGTTTCCTACGTCCTCCCCTTTCTTTTTCTCTCCTCGCTGGAACAGCATCAAGGGAACTTCTGGGCTCAGGGATCAAGAGGTTTCTAAACTTGAGCATCCCGGCTCCACGCACGTCCCCATCCCTGACCCGCAGCTCTGCTCATCCCCACGCAGTCGGCAAGAGGTTATTTTTATGCCTTTAAAGTAAATGCAACACAATGGGGGGGGGGGAAGTATTTCTTGTGAAGTGAAGCAGCTCGGGAAAGTTAATGAGGCAAAAGTATCTGTTCACGGGAAACCTGGAGGTGTCAGGAGTACCCCAAGGTGATAACTTATTTAATGGAGGATTAAGAAGGAGGAGAAGGAAGGTAACACCTGCCCAACCGCGCCGGCCCGGGTACTTAATAAAGCGTAAAGGAGAACATCAAATTAATTATAGAGGGCAAAGGTGCCACCCCATCTATTTTTAATCACCTCTCACGTTGGAAAAGTCTTTTTGTGCGGCGGCAGCTGCCTTTGCCGTGAGAGACAGGCCAAAACCCAACGGGTTGTACCACGGGTGACCAAACCCCAAACCAGCGCACCAGAAAACTTGCTCTTAGAGAAACGAAGCACCCTTAATCCCTCTTTTGTCTCCTTTCTGCGAGAGAGTTGGAGTGAAGGGAGAGCCACGGAGAGAGGATGGGAACGGGCGGGGGGTACCGCAGAATCGGGCAGGGAAGGGCTTTGCGCACACCGGCTGCACATGGGATGCATGGCTTAGGGTATTCCCCAAGATTTGGGAATCCATGGCAGACACGTCCTTGCGGCATCTTGCTTGCGTATCTGGGTTAGCAGAGGAAAAAGAGAAGGAAAATCCCCTGTTTGCAGGCAGTCCTGGTCCCAGGCGCTTTACGACCCTCGGGTAGGTGGAAGTCCTGCAGCTGCTGGACCCCACGTTCAGCTGGGACATCTGGAAACCACCGGGTCCATTCAGCTCCTTGGGGCTGTGCCCACACGTGGATTTTGCAGGCTGGTTTCTGTTCCTCTGGTCACGCTGAGGCTGCAGCTAGCCGAAAACCACCAGAGCATCTCTGCTGCCCACACGCCCGTGTCTGGCACGTGGGACCCATCCCTACAGCAACGAATTGCATGGACTAGGGTTGCAGCGGTTTGAAGCAGGACTGTCCATGCTGCGGTTTGCAATGCAGCCCCAGGAGAGCCTGCACAAGGTCTCCAAACATCCCTCCGGTGTACGGGATCTCTCCAAATCCAGACGAGATGAGGCTTGCCTCTGGCTGAGAGGGGCTGGAAGCCCTGGACCCACACGGCTCCTTTTGTGCTGCTCCTCAAAAAGGACCATTCCCAAAACAACACATGCAAATTAAATCCTCGTATACATCACGTAGCTTCTGCCAGCAGGAAAGGCAGTGATTTAGCACGCTGCATTAGCTCCAACATTCTCCAGAGCAATTTCCCACCGCCTCCTTCAGCCGCTTCATGAGCGGATAGCGTCTCTCATCCCCTTGCCCTTCTTCCAGGAAAGGCTTTGTGTTTGGAGAGAAAGACTTAGCAAGGCTTTGGGAGGATAACTCACCAGGATTTTGCTTCTCAGACTTGGCGTCCCCAGCCCCAGGATCAGCACTTCCACCTTCAAGAGCTTTGTTTTCAGCAGCTCGAGGTACGAGGCACCTGGACGAAGGCGGCGTGTTTATCAGCACGGCTAACGCCTTCATCCCAAACGTAGGAATACTCAGCAGCTCCAGCACAATCTCTGCACCTAGGACCCAGCTGGGGGGCATGGCATCCCATCCCCGTCGCAGCCGGCAGCTCCAGGGGCCACGACACTGCTAAAACACTCCCGCGAGCAAGGGGGCACCTCTTAACTCAGGCTCATTCGAAGCTCTTTGCTTTCTGCTGATGCCTCCTTAGCTGGAAGGCCCAAGGACCTCTAAGGAGTGGGCTGGACATCTCCTGCGGCTGGGGTGCAGGTACCTGGCGGGCAGCAGATGTGGCATCAGCTACTGGATGGAGACGTTTCTCCCTGATCTTTCCTAGCAAAGGAGTTCATGCTCCCTTTGGAAAAGCCACGGGTGTTTCCAGCCTTCTCGGGGAAGAAGGAAATCAGACCACCAACAAGAAAAGCAATCTCCACTGCATTTTATAGCCCCTTTCCTAAAGAAACACAGGGGATCCATGCGCCTCTGCCGAAACTTCGAAGCCACGGCTGAAGCAGAAGGACGGGTGGGAGCACCCGGGCCGGGGCAGCTGGGATTTCGGCTCACCCCACGCACGAGGGACCCCAAAGTTGGCTGGAGAGCCCCTCAAACGCCACCCTCTATGCCTAGATGCTTTTTTCAGTGCCAAACTGCTCAGCACATCTGGCACTTTATTTCAGAGCTGTCATTTTCCTGGCTGTTAGAGGAGAGAATATGGTAAAGAGCAGCCTGGGTTTGCAAAGCATCTCCTGCGAGAGACGTGACATGTTTATTTTCCCTGCACCAACTTCCACATCAAACATGTTTTCTTTTTCCGTGCTGCAAAAGGGAATATATATCCCTCCCTCCCCTATCTACCAGCGCCCAGCTCCCTGCAAACAGCCCAGCCCGTCCTTCAGCTCACGTTTTGGCATCCCCAGGTCCCCGAGATGTTCCACGGGCAGAGCCGGATGGGGGTTGGCGTTTCTGCTCCCTGGCACAAGCAGTAAAGTGGTGGTGGTGGGGAATTATCTCCATCTAACTCGAGAAACGTGATGTTTTGTGTGACCCAAATCTCAACGTTTCAGTTTGGTTTTAAGCGCTGTCAGGTTGCTTGGAGAAAAAAAAAAACAAAAAGACATTAAGGAAAGGGGATGGTATTTTCAAAAACAAAGTTATTGCACATAAAAAAAAAAAGCCAACCTGCCACACGGGAACGTGTCAGCTCCTGTGAAATGTTTGCTTGTTTGCTCGTCTCCCGGAGCAAAACAGGCAGGGAACTATTAGCAGCATTGCAAAATATTTAGACTGACCCAAACCCCTGCGCTTCTGCAGCCGAAGGGGCCCCCGTCCCCCCCCGGGCTTGGGACGCTTGGCTGGACACACACCCGGGCACGGGTGGATGCTCGGTGGAGCTCGGCTTTCGGTGCTGCTTCGTTCCTTGGTTGGTTGTTCTTGGTTTATTGGTTGTTTTTTTTTTTTCCATTATAGACATTATTAAAAAAAATAAACTTTACAATAATACATTTTAAAGTCGTTGTTGCCATTTGAGCATTTTTTTTAAAAATAAAGGAAAAAAGAAAATTAAAAAAGCCACACTGTAGATGTATATGGTTATGTATATACATACATATATGTAGGTATAGGTGAATGGTATATACATACACTATATATGTATATATAAAAGAAATGAAAACAGAGAGGAACATACAGAGGTTTCCGACCACCGATGGGTCGGATCCCATCCCAACCCAAATTCAACTGGACAAAGATTTAAAAAAAAAAAAAAGAAAGAAAAACCTCCCCCTGGAAGTGACAGATTGAAAACATCAGGACAACCTCACCATGTTTGAACAGTAGTTTCTTTTCTCTTCCATTTCAAAACTCTCGCCAACCATGGGAAAAAAAAAAAAATAAAACCCAAAACCCCCAATAACAATGTCGAGAGCTCGAGCGAGTCCCCTGGAACGATGCAGAAGAGCCTCCTGACGGCGAGTCCATCCTCCGGGATGCTCCGATGCGGAACCCTCACCGTCCCCACGGCCACCCCAGAGCACCCGGGCTGATGGGTCCTGCAAATAACCTCTGCCAAAGCTCTGCTCAACGCTTGTTTTCCCTCCCCAGTGCCACTCGCAGCTCTGGATCCCCTGCTGCGGGGCACGCGGGGGGGGTTTGCCACGAGCTGTGGGCTCCTGCTTTAGAAAAGAAACTCAACGCACCATAAAAGACCGGAAGGAAAAAAAAAAAAAAAAAAGGAAAAATGAAAATCGGAAAAAACCACCAAAGTTTCCCAGCGTGGTGAGGGCCCTCCTGCTGCCCGGCGTGCCCGGGCTCGGCATCCCCGGCGTTTCTGAGCGTTTCAGTCTCCGGCACGAGGCGGTCCTTCCCTTCCCCATCGCCGCAGCAGGAACCGAGGTGAGAGCGAGCGTGCCGG